CGGGGGGCGGGGGGGGCAAAGCAGAGCCAAGCCTCGGAGCACGTGGGCAGCGGACAGCCCTGTCCGCTGCCCACGTGTTCCGCCGCTTTGCTTCCTCTCCCTGGTCTGCTGGAGACCAGGGAGAGGAACCCCATTCGTAACTGCGGATCCGACATAAGTCGGATCCGTGTAACTCGGGGACTGCCTGTATATAGACCTCTAGGTCATTCTAAACCTGATTAATTAAATGCCTGAGACACAAAGCACATAACAGAACTGCAATCGTCTGGTCATTATAAATCTAATCACTCAGTCCAACCATTCAAAAATAACCACAATTCTGTTTTTTTTAAACAAATATATTCCTAAATTTGTTAGTTGGTTTATTTTTTATCCAGTTCCTGATCATATCTCTGCTAATTCCGAAAGCATGTAAAGCTTCACCTATTTAAATGTTAACTAGAAAAACCATCTCTCTCAATAGGTTTATAGCCTATTCAGATTTCAAGAGGGAAAGCTACACCACATCAGTTTTACTTGGCCAAGGAAGATAAATATCAGTTTAATTTCATTAAGCTCTTTGGCTACCAAACTGTTAGCATTATCAATGGCTTGACTACATGCAATATAATGAAAAACAATAGCTAAAATACTAATTGTCATACCAGCTTCCTAAAGATCCTCTGATCTGCTTACTTAATGCTCCATAAAGCACTTGCATTTTAAATAGAGCACTGCATTAATTTATTTTTAATGTTATCAGCTAAATTCTATACTGCATATTACTAGAAATAATGTGAGGATTCTTCCCATTCAATTGTGGTATAGTAAAAAGTGCACTGGTAATGGAAAAGTTTTCACACTAAGTACCAGTGCAAGTGAAGTGCCAAAAAGAGGATAGATGTTTAGAAATTCAATTATCCTCTCTAGCGTACTCAGAGGAGGAGGACTCCCAAGATGGTAGGTTATTCGAATATTAACCAGATTTAGAATAATTAATGCATGATATAGCATGTTAACAGATTATTATAACTTTGCCTTTATAAGAATTTTGTATCAAGGAACGTACACTGGGGCTGTGTCCAGACTCAGAGGTTTTTTCGAAAAAAGTAGCCTTTTTAAAAAAACACTTCCCCTGCGTCTAGACTGCAGCCACGTTCTTTTGAAATTAAATCGAAAGAACGCAGCTTTTCTTTCGACGGTGGTAAACCTCATTTCACGAGGAAGAACGCCTTTTTTTGAAAGTGCTCTTTCGAAAAAAGGCATTCTTGAATGCCAACATGGCTTTTTAGAAAGAGAGCATCCAGACTCACTAGCTGCTTTCTTTCGAAAAAGGCTTGCAGTCTAGACATAGCCTGGGAGTCTCTCACAAGAAAAACAAGAATTGCATAATAAATACTTTAAGTTACCTACTCTCTCCCCCATCTTCTAGGAGATATGGGTTTGATACTATTCTTTCTAAAGTGGTAAAATTCCCAGGCACTGTAGTGGTGCAAGACTGAGCCCTATGTCAAAAAATGCCTCTACAGGAAACAATGTTATTTACAGAACAGAAAGCCTCCTTTCCATTACCCTATCACAGGTTAAACTCTTACTCCGACCTTCTTGTTATATATGAAAAGAGTTCCCAACTGAGCTTTTCACATCACTGCAGGTAGGATTGCTGAAACAATTTGTATCAGGGGGTAATGAGAGCCACTGAATCAAATTATCAACTATCTTAAGCTGCCACATGACTTAACTGTGCATGATCAAAAAATACTGGAAGCTAGTCAATACTTGAATTGAAAGGAAAGTTTATGAAGACTTACTCCCAGAATTCCATGACTGGAGACGTGGCATTTTGTAAAGACAGTTGACTGCAGTTGCTCATATTAAGCTTTTGAAATTCCACACAGTTTTCTATAAAAGAAAAAAAAGAGTTTGCTATGATATTTGCAATACACTTGTCTGTTCAGAACATGTTCATTGTGTCCTGCTACCAGTCTAATTTAACTGATCCTTAACAAAGACTTTCCAGGCATTTGAAAGTCGTATGGAATTGTCACTTCTGTTACTTTGATAAAGTCACCCAGACTCAACGCAGGAAGATAGTCCTGCACAGCATGTTACAGTCATCTGTAGTCCTTTTTGAATGAGAAGCTACAATTGCAAGAGCCAATGCAGTGTTTGAGGTAGAAGAAACAAACTTTGAACTGGTGTGATTATTGAAGAGTTAAAATATACAGCCCACTCCAAGCCCACTACACTGCACCATAACTTGAAATAAGACACGCAATTTGTGCTACGCAAATGACATACAGGCAGTCCCCAGGTTACGTACAAGATAGGGACTGTAGGTTTGTTCTTAAGTTGAATCTGTAGGTAAGTCGGAACTGGCGTCCAGATTCAGACACTGCTGAAACTGACCGCCACTTCTGACTTACATACAGAATCAACTTAAGAACCCCAGGCATCCCCAAGTCAGCTGCTGCTGAAACTGATCAGCGGCTAATTCCAGGAAGCCCGGGGCAGAGCACTCTGCCTCCAGCTTCCTGTAGTCAGCGCTGGTCAGTTTCAGCAACAGCGGCTGAATCTGGAGCCAGTTCTGACTTACATACAAATTCAACTTAAGACCAAACCT